AAAAAAAAAAAAGAAAAAAATTTTATTTCAAAAAAAGAATAGCATTTGTGACACCAGCTGCTCTGGAGGAGAAAGGTGGGCCTTTTCTTATTCGATTTACAGCCTCAGAAACCCAAAGGAGGATCAGCTTCAAGTCCATTGTGGCTTCACAGCAGTGAATTAAATGAAATAGACACTGTGTGACAGAGCATGAAATAGGAATACCAGGCTCTGTGGAATACACACCCATAGCCAGTGAGCTGATTCTGACTCACAGTGACTTTAGAATACAGCAGAACTGTTGTTTCCAGGCCATAAACATTTATAGAAGCAGACTGGCTACTACTTCTGTCCACAGAGGGGCTAGTGGGTTCAGATTGCTGATTTTTGTTTGGGAGCTAAGCACTAAATTTACTGTACCACTTGGACTCATGGAATACAGCCAAATTAATTTATGTTTTATCTATGTTTACTTTCACTCTGTGATAGTAGGGTTGTAAACTTTTGACAGAATCTTCTTGTGGCCTGGTAAAGTGGAGGAGGGTCATGTTTGGTAAACTAGACCCCACTTAAAAACTCACTGCTGTGGAATTGGTTCCAATTCATTGTGACCACAGTGGAGAAGCATTCTGAGTGGCCCATGAACTTGCAAAAGAGAAAACAAGTTTCTCTTGGAAGAAGTGCAACCAGGTTGCTCCTTAGAGGCAAACGTGATGAAAGTTTATCTCATGTACTTTGGATATGTTTTCAGAAGGGGCCAGTCCTTGGAAAAGCCATCATGCTGGATATAGTGGAGGGTCAGGGAAAGAAAGGGGGGCCCCTGACAAGATGAATTGATATAGTGACTGTGACAAGGGGCTTGAGCGTGTTAGAGACGATGAGAATGGCACAGGCTAGGGCAAGTGTCAGACCTGTTGCTCTTAGGATCACTGTGAGTCGTAGTTGACTCCAAGACACCTAACAACAACAACGTGACCTTGCACTGGCTTCCTGAGACAGAAATTGCGATGGGAGGAGACTTCTCATTCTTTCTCCTGTGGAGCTGTTGGAGGAATCAAACCAGTGAGTCAACATTGCTATCTGTGAAGACAGCACAAGACCAAGCGTTCTATTCTATGTAAGTCATTGTTTGGGGCTAATTCAGTTGCACATAACACCACCACCAGCCCCCCTCACCACCACCACTGGTGGCACTCTCACTGCTTTGCTGACTCCTTGCTCTCAGCATGACATCACTCCATAGTAGCGAGCTTGGCTTTTCCAAGCCACTGTGGTCACTATTAATTGACTTGTCCAGCACTCATACCCAAAGGAGGTGAGATACAGTAGCACCCACTTTGCCTCTATGGACCATTCCACCTTCACTTCCTCCAAGACATCAAAATCAGGGGTGGGTCCTGTCTCCAAACCTTTTCAATCTCTATGCAGAACAGATCATCCTGGAGGTGGGACTTTGTGAGGAGGAATGTGGCATCAGGGTTGGAGGAAGACTCATTGACAACCTGCGTTTTGCAGGTGACACAACCCTGCTTGCTGAGTCTGGGTCTTCAGAGGCCATGACCTTGCCTTTCCACTGAGCCCAGATTGGCAGGTGGACCAAGAGTTAGGCACATAGACCCAGGCACTGGTTCCAGAGTACTGCTGCTGGGTGGGACCTTGCAGGATGTGGGCAAATCATCAAGGGAGTGAATGGCTTGTCACCTAGCTGCCTGCATCTGCCCTTCAGGGAGAATAAGGTCATTAAGGAAAACTGAGCATTAAAAAAAAAAAATAGAGACGTTGATAAATCATAAAACAACTTCTGCGGGCAAGCTCTGGTGGCCTAGTGGCAAGAAGCTGCACTGCAATCCCAGAGGTACACTGTTTGAATCCACCAGATGATCTGCTGGAGAAGGAAGGACAGTCTCCTCCTGTACCAGTCAGATCTGATTTGATGGTACACACACACAAAAATGATAAAATTAAAAAAAAATGTAAAAAACCCAGTGTCTGCTGTGCATATTGGTTAGATTTGGTGCCCATGTGCAGCGTGCGATCTGACCCACAGTCAACAGGAGTCCTGGACTGTAGCCCAAGGGGAAGCACAACAAGCAGAGTGAGGAATAGGTTCCACTTTCACCCAGGGATCTTAATGCGAGATGACTAAAGTAGTTGTCTGCAATCTTCAGCAGAAATTCCATTAGTAACCCAGGAAAATGTTTAAATCAAATATGTGTCATATCTCCATTCCTTTTCAATCTATATGCAGAACAGATTATCCAGGAGGCTGGGCTCTATGAGGGAGTGTGGCATCTGGATTGGAGGAAGACTTATTAACAACCTGTGTTATGTAGATGACAAAGCCCTGCTTGCTGAAACTGAGGAGGATCTGAAGCACTTAACTGCAGAAGGTCAAGGACTACAGCCTTCAATATGGACTGAAGCTCAACATCAAGAAAATGAAGATTCTCACCACTGGGCCAATTGGCAGCATCATGATAGATGGTGAAGAGATTGAGATTGTTAACAGCTGCAGTTTGCTTGGTTCCATAATTAACACTCTTGGTACAAAATGCCAAGAAATAAAAAGACAAATTGCATTGGGAAAATCTGCTGGCAGGGACTTCTCCAGAGTACTGAAGAGCAACAATGTCAGTCTGGAGACTAAGGTGTGCCTGACCCAGGCCATAGTCTTTGCAGTGACTTGGTATGTGTCAGAAAGCTGGACAATGACTAGGGATGATAGAGAATAAGTTGATGCCTTTGAGCTGTGGTGCTGTAGAAGAGTATTGACTGTACCATGGACTGCCAGGAGAACAAACAGCTTCATCCTGGAGAGAGTGAAACCAGGCTGCTCTTTGGAGGCAAGGATTCTGAAACGTTGGGCATGTTGCAAAGAGGGATCAGTCATTGGAGAGGGACATCAAGTTTGGGAGGATGGAGGGACTACACAAGACAGGAAGACTCTTGATGAAATGGATTGATTCAGTGACTGGGGTAATGGGGGTAGGTGTATCAGAGAAAATAAGATTAGCACAGGATAGAACAGGTTCAGGGCTGTTTTACATACGGTCACTATGAGTTGCAAGCAACTCAACATCACATAACAGCAGCAACAAGAACAACATTCTTTTAACCGACCTTTAGTCTACAATGATAACAATAGTTTTTTTCACTTAGTTACCGTGGGTTTGTCAGTTTCCCCAGATGACTGATTGTGGATAATTTGGCAAGTATACCAGTTCACTTCCAATCTGCTCCCATAATTACAGTTTGCGTTCTTTTAATAATCTGCTTTTGTTGTTTAAACAATGACAGTGTTCACCTACCATCACTGTGCCCTGCGTGTCTGATCCAACAAGGTCTGATGGCACAGCGTGGCCCCTTCATGGCTGCTGGAGTTCTGAGACATGGCCTGTGTGACTGTACACATGTGGAACAATGATATTATGTGGCCATTCCACTCACAGCTTCCCACTTTTGTGAGAAGTATTTATTAAAGAGATAGGCTTAGAGTGGAATACAAGTCCTATCCTCCTATAAGCTCATGGAAGCTCATTGTTCCCTCTCCTGGGACACAACATCGAGCTGCACATGGTGAGCTGACAGGCTACAGGATCCTGGCCCATCCCTCACCAGCCTCTCTAACACCAGCCTGCATCACCCACAGTCACAAGAGCCATGTTTCCTGATGGGTTTGAGTTTCTGTGAACGAAGCACAGAACTCAAGGGACATAGACGGGAGTGGGGGAGGTGAATGGAGGAGGGTCAGTTAATATCGGCAGTGATGGAGTGGTGCAGCAGATTAAACACCTGGGGCATTTTACCTCTGCCTTTGAGTAACTAATCTGATATTAATCTAACAGAATGGATTGCAGTGGCAACACGTGTCCATATACATGTGGAGTTCAGCTTCAAATTGTCATCAAGCAGTTTCAGCCACAGGCTTGCAAACATAAATCACAAGTCCCCAGAGTTTTTTTCTCATACATTTTTTTTCCCTCTGAGAGCATATATTTTTGTAAAACAAACAAACTAACTCCAGGAAGCTGGAGTGATGAACACGGTGCCACAAAAACTCCAAAATAAAAAGTCAGAGTAGACTTGACATTCCATCACCTCCCAGAATGCTTTGCCGAGCCTTCAGGTCTTGTGCAGGACACAGTGGCTCCTTCACATGTAACTCAGAAAGCCTGCCTTCCCAATGTATGTCAGGATGAAATAGGATATTACAGCAGAAAGAGCTAGCTATTTTGACTTAAGCTACACGTTCCTGTACATATTTCTTTGTTTTATCAGCATCTTTTGGCTTTCTACCTCTGTCAAATTAGGGTGGCCCAGAAACCCCTATGGGGCAGTTCTGCTCTGTCACATGGAGTCACGACGTGTTGTCAAGGACCTCATCAGAGGGCTAAAGAGCAAGGATGTCAGTTTCAAGATTAAGCGGTGCCTGAACCAAGTCCTGTTCCTTTCAGTGACTTCCTATGCAGCTGAAAGTTGGATAATCATAAGGATGGCAGAATTAAAAGAAACGTCTTTGGATTGTGATGTTAGAGAAGAGTATTGAATATTTCCTGGATTGGCGGAAGAAGGCACTGACATGAGCGAACTGATAGGAGCTGGAAGAAGAGCAACTGAGGTGCTTCTTGGAGGCGGGAATGGTGAGGTTTTTCCTCACATACTTTGAGCATGGTGTTAGGAGGAGCTGTTGTACCACAGAGTCGGAACTGAACCATAGCTGACCCTCCAGCGAGTTTTCAGAGGCACAAAATTGCACGGGAGGAGATTGCCTATTTTTCTCCATGGAGCAAGTGATGGATATGAGCCACGTACCTTAATGTTGGCAGTACGACTAGAAAAGGACATAATGCTTGAAGGGCAGAGGATCCTGGAAAGAGAGGGAGACCCTCAAGTGAGATGGATTGACACAGGGTCAGTAACAATGGGCTCAAGATGATGAGGAATGCACAAGGCAGGGCAGGACTCAGAGTCACGGTCAATGGTAACTTGATGTGATATGACAAGAACAAATGAGTCCGTTAAAAAAGATAATGAATTGGGACAGGAGCACCTTAGTCCTCAAAGTGACATCCTTGCTCCTTAATACTTTAAAGAGGTCTTTGTCAGAAGGTTTGGCCAATGTAATATGTTTATTTTTTAAAGTTCATATGTATATTTACTTTTTGGTCTTTTTTATTGGTTTGCTTACAAAGCTTGTATACGTTGTGTTTCACACTATTCTTCATTCACATTGTGTTTCATACACTCATTCTCAGGCATTATGTTTTATAAAATTAACCACTATTGGACCCTGCCCATCATTACCTGGATCCTTCCCATTTCATACCCCCCTTCCACCCACCAAACTGTGCAACCTTGTGGTTTCACCTCACCTATCTTCAGTCCTTCCCCTCACCCCCACCCTTGAGTTCCCATATGATGTTTTAATAGCTAGATCCAGGAGAGGCCATGGTACCAGAGATGTCATTGCTGATGACAGACGGATCCTGACTGACATGGTTTAAAATTAATAAAGGCTTGTGTCTCCTTTCTTCATACCTGTTCAATCTGTATGTTGAGCAAATTTTTGAGAATGTAGACTTTTTTTTTTTTACAGTAATGGTCTTCTGCAGTATTTGTCCTTATGAGACTGCATTAGTTGATTCAGCAGAATGAAGCTTCTCCCAAATTAGGTACTATTTTCAGAACTGTTGCTTCTGAGTGCTGAATAGTATTCCATTGTGTGAATGTATCACAATTTCTCAATCCGTTTGGTTGTGGTTGGACATTTGGGCTGTTTCCATGTTCATGTGGGCTGTTTCCATGTTCTTGTGATGGTGAAAAATGCTGCTTGAACATTGGTGTACAAATCTCTATTTCTGTTTCAGTTCTAATTTCCTTTGGGTATATTCTTAGTGATGGAATAGCTAGCTGGGTCATATGGAGTTTCTGCTGTTCAATTTTTTTGAGGAAACATCAAGCTGTCTTCCAGAGTGGTTGTGCCATTTTACAATCACACCAACTGTGTATGAGGGTTCCCAGCTCTTCATATCCTCTCCAACATTTGTTACTTGCTGTCCTACTAAACTTTGCCATTGTAAAACCCAAAAGCATAAAGTTCATAGGAGTAAAACTGAGAACCAAGCTTAGAAGGCCTAGTTTATGGTATAAAGAGACTGCCAAATACAGCCAGAAAGGCACAATTTGAAGAGGATAAACTTGAAGAATGGGATTTTCTAAAGATTAAATCTCTGTGCTCATCAATTTCCAACAGGGTAAAAAGAAAGCCTACTGTCTAGGAACAAACATTTGACAATAGCATCTCGGACAAGGGTCTCATAACAAAAGTTTACAGAATACTCGTGGACCTCCAGAAGAATGGGCTTGATAACCCAGTTGCAAAATGGGCAAAAGACATGGAAAGACTTTTCACAGCGGAAGTCACTCAGGTGGCCAACAGACACATGAAGAAATGCTCAAAATCACTGGCAGTAATAGAGACACAAATCAAAATCACTATTAGAAAC